AGAAAGTATTTTTTTAACCCAATTATATTGGCGGGCTATTTTAGTAAGATGCTTAGATCTAGGCCTTAGAATAATATTTTTTTCTTTCTAAATTTTTTAGATAATTTTATTATCATTAGATTAACAATATTAAAAAATATATATGATTTTGAATTCATAAAGACCTAGATCTTTAAATTCATCTTATGGACGGTCTAGATTCATTGTTGGCAGGGACTCATTTTGACCATAGGGTGCAAATTAGTTTTTTTTAGATTGATTATTGAGATGAAGAGAGTGTGTGCACAAAATTTTGGGTCATACAAATACAAACATGGTTTTCTAGAATTATTTCGCATCATCTATGAGACAGTTGTTGCATGAAATCATTGCCCATAAAAAAAAAAAAAAAAGGCAGTAATTTCAAATTTAAGAGAAGAGATTTTATACAATTAGATCATTTACCTTTGATACAAAGTGGTCACAATTATTCACAACCATCCGATGTGAAATTTGATAGCTGGGATGTATCATGAAGTTCGAGAAATTTTATTTTGAAGTTTGAGCTTGGTCAATAAAATAATTGCAGCCACCCAATTTCACATCCAATGGTCTTGGTACAAGGTGGTCACATTAATCTTGACCAAGCTCAAACTTCAAAAAAAAAAAATTTGAATCATGATACATCCAAGCCATCAAATTTCACATTGGATGGTTGTAAATAATTGTGATCACCTTGTATCAAATGTAAATAGTCTCATTGTATACAATACCAAAATTTAAAGCTAAAATAATGGCGTAGATTTAGCAAAATAATAAACGCTCAAAAATCTCAAATATAGACGGCCTAGATAACATATTACAAGATGCACTATTCTTTTTATTTTTTTATTTTTCCTTTCTTATGCATATATTTCGAGGTCAATTCTATGGTCTAGATAACGTTTCTTTCAACCATGTTTATGGAGAAGCCAAATCTATAGTTGATGATCTAACAAAGAAAATGGCATATCATGATTCCTTAGCAATTTCTTATGTTCTGCCTTAATGTTGTATTGACC